TCACTGCTCCCAGTGATATACAGGCATACCTTGGAGAGGTTGTGGGTTTGATTCCAGACCACCACAATAAAGTGAATATTGCAATAAAGTGAGTCACGAATTTTTTGATTTCCCAGTGTGTATAAAAGTTACGTTTACACTATACTGTCATCTGTTAGGTGTGCAGTAGCTTTATGTCTAAAAATTAATGCATATAGCTTCATTTAAGAAATACTTTATTGCTAAAAAATGCTAACCATCATTGATACCTTCAGTGAGTCATAATCTTTTTGCTGGTGGAGGGTCTTGCCTTGAGGTTGATGGCTGCTGACTGATCAGGGTGGAGGTTGCTGAAGGTTGGGGTGGCTATGGCAATTTAAAAAAATAAGACAATAGCTTTTTTCTGGTTATTGCGGTGTGAGGCACCATGAGCAGCAAAGTCTCCTGTGACACCTTGTACGAGGCAGTGCGGAAAGTCCTACACGGGAAACAGTGCAAGCACCAGAAAGTTTTGGAGATGGTGGAGCTAAAGATCAGCCTGAAGAACTATGACCTCAGAAGGACAAACCCTTCTCAGCACCGTCAGGCATAAGTCTACTCTCCGCCCCAAGTTCTCCATATGTGTTTCGGGGGACCAGCAGCATTGTGATGAGGCCAAGGCTGTGGATAATCTCCCACATGGGCATTGAGGTGTTGAAGAAACTCAACAAGAATAAGAAACTTGTCAAGAAGATGACCAAGAAGTATGATGCCATTTTGGCTCCAGAGTCTGTGATCAAGCAGATCCCATGAATCCTGGGCCCAGGCCTGAATCATGCTGGCAAGTTCCCTTGCTGACCCCCAATGAGAACATGGTGGCCAGAGTTGATGAGGTGAAGTCCATGATCAAGTTCCAAATGAAGGAGGTGTTGTATCTTACAGAGGCTGTTGCCCACATGAAGATGACAGATGATGAGCTTGTGTACAACATCCACTTAGCTGTTAACTTCCTGGTGTCATTGCTCAAGAAAAATTGGAAGAACGTACAGGCTTTGTACATTAAGAGCACCATGGGCAAGCCCCAGCACCTATACTAAGGTACAGCTTAATAAACCATACTGCCACCATTAAAAAAAAAAAAAGACAACAATTATCAATTGCTGCATCTATTGACTTCCTTTCACAAATGATTTCTCTGTAGCATGCATTGCTGTTTGATAGCATTTTAAGTACAGTAGAACTTCTTTCAAAATTGGAGTCAGCCCTCTCAAACCCTGCTGCTGCTTTATCAACTATAAAATTCTAAATCCTTTGTCATCATTTCAACAGTCTTGTCATTTCTACAGTCATTCCATCATCTTCACCAGGTATAAATTCCATTTCAAGAAACAGCTTTCTTTGTTCATCCTTAAGAAGCAGCGCCTGACCTGTTAAAGTTTTATTAGGGTATTGTAGCAATTGTCACATCTTCAGACTCCACTTCTGATTCTAGTTCTCTTATTATTTCCACCACATCTTAAATTCCTTCCTCCACTGTAGTCTTGAACCACTCAGAGTCATCCATTAGGGTTGTAATCAACTTCTTCCAGACTCCTGTGTTCATGTCGATATTTTGACCTTTTCCCACGAAGCATGAGTGTTCTTAATGGCATCTAGAATGTTGACTCCTTTCCAGAAGGTTTTTCAATTACTTTCCTCAGAGGAATCACTATCTATGGCAGCTATAGCCTCGTGAACTATATTTCTTAACTAATAGACTTGAAAGTCAAAATTACTCCTTGATCCATGGGCTTCAGAATGGATGTTGTGTTAGGAGGCATGAAAACAACATTAATCTCATTGTGCGTGTCCAGTAGAGCTCTTGGGTGACCAGGTGTGTTGTCAGTGAGCTGTGATATTTTGAAAGGAATCATGGTTTTCTGAGCAGTAGTTCTCAACAGTGGGCTTAAAATACTCAGAAAACCATGTTGTAAAGAGATGTGCTGTCATCCAGGCTTTGTTGTTCCATTTATATACAGAGTACAAGCAGAGTAAATTTAGCCTAATTCTTAAGAGCCCTAGGATTTTTGGAATGGTAAATGAGTATTGGCTTCAACTTAAAGTCACCAGCTGTCTTTCCCCCTAAAGAGAGTCAGCCTGTCCTCTGAAACAAAAGCTAGACATTGACTTCTCCTCTCTAGGTATGAGTCTTAGATGGCATTTTTCTCAATATAAGTCTCTTTTGTCTCCACTGAAAATCTGTTGGCTTAATGTAGCCACCTTCATGAATTATCTTAGCTAGATCTTCTGGATAACTTGCTGCAGCTTCTACATCAGTACTTGCTTCACCTTGCACTTTTATGTTATGGAGGCAGTTTCTTTCCTTAAACTTCATGAATCAACCTCTGCTGGCTTCAGACTACTGCAGCTTCCTTACCTCTCTCAGCCTTCATAGAATTGAAGAGTGTTAGAGCCTTGCTCTGGCTTAGGCTTTGTCTTAAGAGGATGCTGTGGCTGGTTTGATCTTCCGTCCAGAACACTAAAACTTTTTCCCTGTCAGTAAGGCTCTTTCACTTTCTTATCATTCATATGTTCACCAGAGTAGCACTTTTAATTTCCTTCAAGAATTTTTCCTTATCTTGGCTCTTGTGAGTTATGCTGTAATGAACATAGGAGTGCAGATATCTCTTCTAGGTACTGATTTCATTTCCTTTGGATATATATGCAAAAGAGGGATTACTGAATTGTATGGTAGTTCTATTTTTAATTTTTTGAGGAACTTCCATACTGTTTTCTATTAAGGCTGTACCACTTTATATTTCCACCAACAGTGTAAAAGAGTTTTCATTTCTTCACATATTCACTAGCACTTGTTATCTTTTACCCTTTTGATACTAGCCTTTCTAACAGATTTGAGGTGATAAGCCATTGTGGTTTTGATTTGCATTTCCTTGATTAGTGATGATGAGCATCTTTTCATTTACCTGCTGGCCCTTTGTATGTCTTTTTTGGAAAATGATCTCAGTTATATATGAAGTCTAAAATCACATTCATAGAAGCAGAGAATAGAGCAGTGGTTACCAGGGGCGGTGAGGGGGGCGGGTGGAGAATATGGGGAGATGGTTGCTCAGAGGGTAGAAAGTTGTAGTTATGTAGAATGAGTAAGTTCTAGAGTCCTAATGTACAACATGATGACTATAGTTAATACTCTGTTGTATACTGGAAATTTGCTAAGAGTAGATTTCAAGTGCTCGCACCACATACAACACACACACATGGAAAACTGTGAGGAGATGGGTGTGCTAATTAGCTTGACTGTAGTAATCATTCCACTAAGTATATCAAAACATGCTGTACACCAAGCATCCCAGTCTGACTCAGAAATGCATGCACAGGGTGGACTTGAGAGAGCATGGCAAAAAGTGAAAGCCAAGGGGGACTTGAGAACTGGCTGCAATGTTGAATATATCTCCCATCTCACACAGAAAACAGCAGAGGGTAGAAGTGTTATAGACTCAAAGTGTATGATGTTAACTTCTGCCCAAATCATTAGCTGCCTATTAAGCTATTCAGAGACAGAGGCTACCCCTGGGGAGCCAGGATAAAAATTGAAATAAAGAATTTGAAAAAATGAGCAGAGACAGCCAATATCTCTACATCACAGGCCAATAGATTCCACAGACTGAGTATGGGCAAGATGATAAAATAAAAAACACTCCTTAGATGTAAAACACAGTCTAGAGTTGCTATAATTACCTAAAATGTCTAGTTTTCAGCCAAAAATTATTAGACATGCAAAGAAATAGAAAAGTGTGAAATGTACTAAGGAAAAAATCAGCAGCTAGTGGAAACTGAGTCTGTATGGGCCTAGATGTTAGATTAGCAAAGACTTCAGTCAGGAATTAATAGACAAGCTCAAAGAATTAAAGGTAAAAATGTTAAAAATGAGTCAACAGAAAAAATATATATATATAATCTATAGAGAAATATAGACAATAAAAATAACCAAATTTGAATTCTAGAGTTAAAAAGTGTGACAATTAAAAATAAAAATTATTAGATGGACTCAACAGCAAATTTGAGGTAGCAGAGATCATTTATTTGAAGATATATCAATAGAAAGTATACAAAGAATTTTAAAAGATTGAAAAAATGAACAGAAGAACCCTAAAGACCTGTGGTACAATGACAAGCATTCCAACATGTATAAAGGGAGTTGGTGAAGGAGAGGAGAGAAAGAGAAGAGAGAAAATTTTTGAACAATAGCTCCAAACTTCCAAAAGTTGATTAAAAACATTAACATTTAGATGCAAATAGCTCACCAAATCACTAGTAGGGTAAGTAAAAAGAGCACCATAACTAGAAACAACATAGTCAAAATGATAAAAGAACTCCTCAAAGGAGCCAGAGAAAATGACTCATCACATGGAAGGGAACAATAATATGTTTAACAATGGACTTCTTATCAGAAATGATGGAGGATAGAAGATAATGGAATGACACAGTGAAAGTGCTGGAACAAAAGAAACTAAACCCAGAATTGTATATCAGGTGGAACATTCATTCAGAAATGAAGTTAAAATGAAAATATTCTCCGGTATAAAAAAAATTGAAAGAATTTGTTGCTAATAGACATAACCTGTAAGAAACACTGAAGTTCTTAAGGCTGAAAAGAAAGACACCTGATGATAAGTTAGATACACAGGGTGGAATGAAGAGTACCAAAGGTATTAAATATAAAAGATTGGTTATATGTTTTCTCTTAATTGAAAAGAAGATAATCAAAGCAATAATTGTAACACCAACTTGTTGGGATATATAAATACACAATCAAATATATGCATATTATAATCTACACAACAATAGTACAGCTTAAAAGGGGAAAAGAAATGAAGCTACATAGATGCAAAGTTGCTATATTTTTACCAAAATGAAGTTAGCGGTGACCTGACAGAGACTAGGATAAATTTAACATGAATATAGAAATATCTGCAGCAGCCATTAAAGTAATAACTCAAAAGATACAAATTCAGGAGTTGGTGCGCCATGCAGGCAACAGTGGCATGGGGCTGAGCCAGGTGTGTGCTGTCTTCTTCGACCTGGACAGCATACTCATCAACATGCCCAGGGTGAGTCGGAAGGGCATGTTGGAGGTGATAAAGCTCTTACAATCAAAATACCATTTCAAAGAAGAGACTGAAGTCGTCTGTGACAAAGTTCAAATTAAACTCAGCAAGGAATGTTTTCATCCTTCTAATACATGCATTACTGACCTCAGGACTTTACACTGGGAGGAAACAATCCAGGAAACCAAAGGTGGTGCAGCCAATAGGAAACTGACTGAAGGATGTTATTTTCTGTGGAAATCTACATATTTACAGCATATGACACTAGCAGATGTCAAAGCCATGTTTACTGAACTTCAGAAGGATGTCTGCCTACTTTTATTAACAAATGGAGAAAGACAGACCCAGAGGGAGATTGAGGCTTGTGCCTGTCTGTCCTATTTTGATGCTAATGTTGTAGAAGGAGAGCAGAAAGTGGAGAAACCAGCACCTTCCATATTTTATTACTCCTGTGATCTCCTTGGAGTAGAGCCTGGGGACTGTGTGATGGTTGGTGACACACTAGAAACCGATATTCAAGAAGGCCTCAATGCAGGGCTGAAGGCAACAGTCTGGAAAGATAAAAATGGAATGGAGACATTGAAGTCATCCCCCATGCCACATTATATAGTTTCTTCCGTGCTAGAGTTACCTGCTCTCTTACAAAGAGTAGACTACAAAGTCAGTGTGTCAGCTTAAAGCACAGAAAGGGTTATGCTTATGAATTTTAGGGTCAAATTACAGAGTTTGAACTAAGGAAAGTTAAGAAATTCTGTATACTGTGACCCAGTTCTAAGAATAATTATACTTGTGTAATGACCAACCAACCATTGACTGGTATTTATATCTGAAAATCCAGTGTACATTAATACAAGTTGCTTTTAGTAGTGTAATCCAGAAAACTTGAAGTATATTTGTTAATCTGTGGCTTGAAATTTTTTTTAAAAAATTATGTTATTAATCTTTTAGCATCTTGGATCTATGAAGATACTAAGGAGGATAACATATATGGATGCACAAATGTAGATTTTATGTTTTGGCTTAAAAAGATATTTTTTAAAAATAGGTATTCTAAAATATGTATAATAGAGATTTATTAGAGCAGTTGGACCTGGTTAATATGAAGTACCAAGACACATGCAAATCAAAGCATATTTCATAGTGAAATTATTTTTGTATTTTCTGTTTTTAAAACATGTACCATATTTTTGCCTAGTTTGAATGTATACTTATGAATTTAATTTTTCTGCATTACCTTTGGGGTAGTGTAATTTTCCTATGGTGTGTACATGACCAGTAAATTCCTCCAGTAAAAATCAGCATATGGTGCTCCTTTTCCATTACATTTTCCCATTTTTCCAGAGTGAGCTTATAGGTTCCTGTTAGTCTTTACCTTTTATGGAAGTACTGTTACTGTCTTTTCCCAGGTACACAAGCAGTTTGAGGGACTAGTCTGTCTTGCTGTGGATGAGTACAAGCCACATGGCACCAGAAGTCATTTTCCTTCTGTGGCCACATCAGAGGGGAATTGCCTTGGTGAGGCCTAATCATTGCTGCACCCCATCTGTTGCCTACTGACTGAATAGTTTCACCCATATGATGAAAACCAATAGAAAATTAGGTTTTGCTATGAACCATTTCCAGAGTGCCTTTTAATACTTGACTGGCTCTTTTTGGTGTTACCATCTGCCTTAAATCTCCTGTTTTTCAAATTTTGGGAACTATGTGCTTGTTTCACAAATTTCTATATCCATTTCAGGGTTTGCTTTGAGCTTACTAATTAATGACTCCATAGTGAGGCATCTTGCAACTAGAAAAATTTCTCAAGAACATTAGCTAGAAAGTCTCATGATATCACCAACCAAACTTAGAGTACTATGGTTAATTAAAGAAAAAAGAAATAATGTTTGGATTGTTTTTTGGTAGGGTTTTTGTTTAACTTTTATGGGAAACTACTAATGTAAAATGTTAGATTGTTGGGATAGCTATGGTTCCTTCAAGTATCCTACCCAGAACAGGATTCTCTGCCGTTGTGCATATGCCTGTTGTGCTTACTTCTCATTCTTAATTTTTAAAAATGTGATTGTGCCTTTGTCCAGGGTGTTGTTGCTCTGAAGCTGAATGTGTGTGAACAGGGAATGTTTGTGTATAGCTCTACTAGGTGCAGTGCCCATGTGATCTCAATTATATTGTAGCTGTTTTTAAAATTGTTAAGTCGGAGAATCTCGCAGAAAAATAGTTTTGTGCATGATTTCTCTAGTGGACTGATGTGTGATGCTGAGGGCTTGTCCTTTCAGCTCTCCCACAGGACAGGTCTAGGCATGGCATGTTCATTATGCTCCCTGAGAAGGTTCATTGCTCTAAGATAATAGGAGCAGATCTCAACACAAGAACACCTAGGATGTTAAGTGAGCAGTTCTTCAGCAAAAGTGATCTGGGGAGGAATGAAAGGAGTTTCCTTGTCTTCAGTTTGTATTCTAGACAGTGCAGTAATGCAATATTACATTCCATTTGCACCGTTTCTTAGTGAAGAACTTTGTGGTTTTCTGCCTTCTGAGTGGGATGTCACAGAAGATATTAAGAAACCTTGGAATAGACCTATTATTAATGTTATTTTTAGAATACTATTTCTTAAAATTAAAAAAAAATGATGTAACAGGAAAAAAAAGATACAAATTCAGAATATTTAAAATGGTACACCAAAAAGATTGTTTAACCCAAAATAAGGCAGGGAAGAATAAAGGAATAACAACAAAACCCCATGAGACATATATAAAAGATAAAGGAAAATGGGAGATATGAATTCAATCTTACCAATATTTACATTAAATGTAAATGGATTAAATACTCCAATCAAAAGGCAATGATTGCTAGAATGGATTTTTAAAATTCAAGTTCCAAGTATGTATAAGAGCCATTTTTAATTCAAAGACACAATAGGTTGAATGTAACATGACAGAAAAAGATCTACTGGTGTACCATGTTTTATTGCACTTCACTTTACTGTGCTTTGCATGTTACATTTTTTTACAAATTGAAGGTTCGTGACAGCCTTTTGTTGAGTAAGTCTATCAGCATTATTTTCCCAACAGGGTTGTTTTTAAACTAAGGTATGCACATTTTTAAAAACATAATGCTGATGGACTTCCCTGGTGGCGCAGTGGTTGGGAGTCTGCCTGCCGATGCAGGGGACACGGGTTCGTGCCCCGGTCTGGGAAGATCCCATATGCCGCAGAGTGGCTGGGCCCGTGAGCCATGGCCGCTGAGCCTGCGCATCCGGAGCCTGTGCTCCGCAGTGGGAGAGGCCACAACAGTGAGAGGCCTGCGTACCACAAAAACAAAAAAACAAAAACAAAAAAAAAACGTAATGCTATTGCACACTTAATATACTATAGCATGGTGAAAACATGACTTTTATATGCACTGGGAAACCAAAAATTTCATGTGACTTACATTCTCGCTTTATTGTAAATTTGCTTCATTGTGGTGGTCTGGAACTGAACCAACCATATCTCTGAGGTATGCCTGTACCAGACAAACAGTAAATAAAAGACAGCTTAAGTGGCTATAGTAATATCAGAGAAATAGACATTAATATGAAAATATTACAAAGTGATATTTCATAATGATAAAAGGGTCAATACAGCATTAAAATATAACAAAAATAAATGAATATGAACCTAACAATACAGTCTCAAAATACATGAAGTCACAATTGGCAGATTTAAAAAAGAAATAGATATTCAACAGAATGAGTTATCAATATTTCTGTCAATAATGGAAAGAAAAACTACACAGAAAATCAGTAAGAATATAGAAGACTTAAACAATACAGTCAACCAGCTCTTTCTAATAGATGTAGAATATTCTACCCAACAACAGACAACATATTTGTTTCTAATACACATACAGAATATTCTACTCAACAACAGACAACATATTTGTTTCTAATACACATGGAACATTCTCCAAGATCATACTGTGGATTATCAAACAATCTAGATAAATGTTAAAGTATTGAAGTGTACAAAGTGTCCACATCAGGGGATGGCAAATAACACCTACAGGCTGAATCCAGCTCACTGCATTTTGTATATAAAGTTTTACTGAAACATAACCACACTTATTCATTTACCTATTGTCTATGGCTGCTTTCATGTTTCAACAGCAGAACTGAGAAGTTGCAATAGAAACCACATGGCTGTCAAAGGCTAAAATTGTGGAAAAACTTAGCAAATCTCTGAATTAGTAATCAACACAGAGAAACAAATTTGGGGAACTCTCAAATAGTTGGAGTTTATGAGACACTTCAAAATAACCAATGGGTTATTTAATTTAAGACATTAGAAAATGACTTAAATTAAGCAAAAACAAAAATGGCTTATTAAGGTGCAGCTTTAAATGGTTGAATTAGAAAGGAAGAAATTTTACAATAATCTAAGCTTCCAGCTTAAGAAGCTAGATAAAGAAGAGCAAATAACACCAAAGTATGCAGAACACAGTAAATTATAAAGACCAGATCAAAAATCAGTGAAATATTAGAAACAAAAAGACAATAGAGAAAAATAAGTGAAACCAAAAGTTAATCATTTTGAAAGAACAACAAAACTGATAAAAGCTTAGCAAGAATGAACAAGAAAAAAAGAAAAATAATTATATAGCATAATTTGTGCTCCAGATACTGTACTAAGCATTTTTGTATTAACTTAAGCATGTTTTATGTCAAATCTCAAGAAAATTGTTGAAGGAGAAAATATTATAAACTTTATGCAAATCAAGTTGAACATTGAGATATAGGCAAATTCAAAACTATATTTATCAAAACTAAAGAGATAAGAAATCTGAATACTGTGATACTTATTAAAGAAGTTAAAACCATAATTAAAAATCTTCCCATAAAGCAAACTCCAGGCCTGGATGATGTTACTGGTAAGTCTTTCTACCGTTTGAGAAGGAAGTACTATCAATCTTTTATAAACTCTTCCAGAGATTACCAGAAGAATGGATAGTTTTGAACTCATTTTATAAGGCCTGTATACCTTGATACCACCACTTGACAATGTTGTAATAAAAAAAGAAAACCACAGATAAATATTCCCTCAGGGACCTAGATACACAAAAAATCCTTAAAATATCAAGAGATTGAATACAGCAATATATAAATAGAATAGTACATCATGACAAAGTGGGCTTTATTCCAGAAATGCAAAGGAGGTCAAAATTTGAAAAAACTGTACTTCACCAAGTGGTGAATATTATAAGTGAGAAAACCATTCATTTTAATAGACACAGATAAATAGATTTTTGATTTTAAAAAGAGAACTCAGAAAACTAGAAATGCAAAGAACTTCCTCAGTCTAGTAAAGGAATTTTTTTTTTAAGTTTACAGCCAACATTGTACTTTAAGGTGAAATGAATGCCATTAATGTTGGCCACAGAGCAGGATGGCTGTTCTCACTGTTTCTATTCAATACTTTGCTGGATGTCCTAGCCAGTACAATAAGTCAAGAAAAAGAAATATAAAGCATAAAGATTGAAAGGAAAAGTCAAAATGTCTGTATTCACAGGTGTGACGGTATATATAGAATACATAAATAGAAAATCTTAAGCAATCTTAAAAAATGTGATAACTAGTGAATTTAGCAAGATCATAGAATAAAAGTTAAATATATAAAAATCACTTGTACTTCTAGATATCA